GTCAAAGAAGCTAGATTTAGTGCATACTGATGTTTGGGGTGCTATACTAGTTTCTTCTATAGGAATTTCTCTTTATTTGTTACTTTTATTGATGATTACAGCATAAATGTGTGAGTGTACTTCTTAAAATATAAGTCGAATGTATTTTATGTTTTCAAGAAGTTGAAGGTCATGGTTGAGATTGAGACAGGTTTAAAGCTCAAGTGTCTTAAATCAAATAATGTTGATGAGTATCGTTATAAGAAGTTTAAAGAGTATTGTGCTTTGAATGAGAGGCAGGGAATACAATATAATGGTGTTATTCCAAGACACCACAATATAATGGTGTTGTAGAGCGCATGAATAGAACTACCACTAAGCGTGCTAGGAGCATGAGGTTGCATGCAGGTCCATCTAAACTGTTCTAAGCAGAGACAGGGAATACAATTATTTATCTAATCAATCGTGGTTCATCGATTTCTCTGAATGAGGGGTTACCTAAGAAAGCCTGGAGTGGAAAGGGGGTAAGTTTATTTCACCTCAAAATTTTTGGATGTTCATCCTATATTCATATTGATGCAAGTTCTAAGAATAAGCTAGATCTAAAATCTATCAAGTATACTTTTATTAGCTATGACTCAGATGAATTTGGTTATAAATTTTACATTTATCAAAATAAAAAATTCATCAGGTGAAGGAATGCTAAATTCAATGAAATAAAATGTACAAAGATAGGAATGAGGAATGAGAGTCCTATAGATTCTTTTAAATATCTTGAGATAGAGGATGATAATGATCAAGATTGATGAAGCATAGAGAGTTTAACAGACGCATGCTACAAATTAAAGTTAGGAGATCCAACAAAATCTCAAAATCAGTACAAAGGTATTCTCCTTCCTTATACTACGTATTTGTGATGCCCCAGAATCAAATAGTGAAAGGATTCGTCTGACATTCTGATCGAACTCCATTCCAGTTGCCTTGCTCGGACCTGAAAATTTAAACCACATATAATGAGCTTACAAAGCCCAGCAGGTCACCAAAGCCTACAACTGAAATCAAAGCACGGCGATGCTATCAATATGCAGGTCAATAAAATCAAGTCAATCAATGGTCAATGAGTCTATGCAACGCAGAAATCCGTCGTCAATGAAATCAAGTCTACGCAGCGGAAATCAAATCAGTACGGAAATCATCGATAAATCAATACATCTCAGCAATCAAATCAATAAGTGCTCCTAGTCAATATCCAATCAACGTGGTAGTGTCTATCAATCTATACTATCTATACTATCAGGTCAATCCACCGTGTCGTCTAATCAATTCATCGAATCTATATCATCTATTCAATCAATATAAATCTATATCATCTGTTCAATCAATAAAGAAATCCATAAAGCTCAAAATCAATGCCTCAATCAAAGCTCTACAGTCTCTATCTATTGCTATCGATAACATCAATACGGTCATCTATCGTATCCATCTATAACATCAATATAAAGGAATTATATCAGATCATCTACTTGCAGATCAATCTATCGTGTAATCTTATCAATTAATTCTTCCAGTCAATTATTTATCAGCAAGGAAATCCATCGAACAATCTAATCAACTCAATAAATCAACCTCTATACAATGAAATCATCAGGTCAATTGAAATCAATACAATCAACTCCATACAGCAATCTATTCTACGATAAATCAATAACCTATCAGGATCTGTCGTATTAATAATATCCATATGTCAAAAATATAGCACTATTAGATAAATCTTTTGTTTCATTTTTTTGTGATTTTGGCAGAAGAAGCCTAGTTGAGCTAGTTTCACCAAGGCAGCTAAGTAGTTCTAGTTTAAGTTCTTGCATCATTTCTCTTGTTTTGAGAGCTCTTTGGGGCCCTCATGGAAGAGATTTATTACTAGTTGACAGCATTCATATCTCTCTCCCACGCCTCTTATTTGTAAACCCACCATGATAGGCTAAAAACAGACAGAATTAGTTTGTCATCAAACACCCAGAAAATACTTAAAAAAGTATTCTGTGGTTTAAATGACTAAAAAGCCGTGTCCATGTAGAATTTACTGAAACATAGACAGACTTTTTAGATCTACTCAATTTGTTTTAGGCGCTTAAACTATCTGTGTGGTCTGGATCTCAAAGCATTTCATCATATTGTAGTTTTAGGAACAGATAAGACGATATGTTACAACAGTAAGTTTTTTTTTTTTTTCAAACTTCCAAATATGCCAAAGAATCGCATGCAAATTTCTGCAATTTACCCGAGGATTTAAAGAATTGTGAGTTTTTTTTTTGTTTTTTTCGTTTAAGTAATAAGATTTAAAAAAAGAGTAAACATTTTAGAGTATACGTTTTAGATATCTTGGATCTATTGTTCAAAGTGATGGTGAAATAGATGAGAATATTATCAGCAAAATTCAAGTTGGATGGTTGAAGTGAAGGAATGCATGGGACTTATTGTGTGATAGAAAGGTCCACCTCAAACTTAAGGGAAAATTCTATAAGATGGTGGTGAGACTTGCAATGCTCTATGGTGCCAAATGTTGGCCATTAAAAGAGAAGCATAGTTCTAGGTTAAGTATAACAGAGATGAGGATGCACATGTGGATGAGTGGCTTTACCCTTAGAAATAAGATACGAAATGAGCATATCCATGAAAATGTTGGAGTAACTCCAGTGGAAGATAAGATTAGAGAGAGTAGCCTTAGATAATTTGGTCATATAAAACGACGGCCTTCCGATGATCCGATTAGGAAAGTAGAGGTATTATATTTGACTTATGTTAAGAAAGATAGAGGTAGACCTAAAAAGACTTGGTTAGAAAATATTAGAAATGGTCTTTCTTTAATAGATTTAAATGAGAATTTGACATTTAACAGTACACAATGGAGAAAAAAGATTCATGTAGCCGACTCCACGTAGTGGGATAAAGGCTTGATGTTCTTGTTGTTGTTTAAGTAATAAGATTTTCTTCACTAAATTTCATGATTTTTAATTCAAAAAATGGGAACTGAAAAAAATAGAGATTGAAACATTTTTATTGTTTTTAAGATATGGGAATTGAAGTTTTACAAAAATGTTGGTATAGAAATATTAAACTATTGTCAAAATTATAGTTTTTGGATTAAAAATAGTTTGATCACTTTTATATCTGGCCCAATAGTACTTTTTTATTAACTTCCAAACAAAGAACATGAATGCAGTAGTTCTAACTGAAATTGAGTGTGATTCATAGTTCGTGTTCCCATATGTCTATAGTTCTTTTGACTCTAGTCAAGCAAGATTCGATTACATATCTATCATCTAAAGCTTTGTTTGAGACGGCTTTCTTACTGCTTCTTAAAGCAGTTTTTTAGTAAAAAAATTTAAATTTTGCACTATAAATATGCTTTAAGAAGTAGTAAGAAAGCCGTTCCAAACGAAGCCTAAGTTTCATATGATTGAGTGAGCACTTTGTGTGTGAAGATGATAAAAAATTTTCATTTAAGGGAGAATAAAGACTTATGTGAAGAACTCTTATGTAAGTGAAATTGCTAAGATAACCTATAAGAGTTTGGATTTAGTAATACAACTAAAGATTAAAAAAGCAATAATTTCATCAATGAATTCGATCATTGATGTTGATGGAAATAAGTCATATTTATGAGTAAATAGAAATGGTTAGTTCTTTCTTTACTTTCTCCTATTCATCAGGCAGCCTCACAAGAGAGTTAACTGTTAGCAGAAGAGAGGATGTCTAGCTTTAATATTTATGGTCTGATAAACCCTTCCACCACTGTCTGCTATCAGGATTTGAATCTACACCAGCTCACTAAATTAGGTAGTAAAAGCTCATATTTATTTGGGACAGCTTTTTCGTGTCTTTACAGTGGCAAAAGTGTCGAACAAAGAATTATTTATTTGAATGAAATAATTGTGCTGCTTTTCCCTTTTTTTTTTTTAATTTGTTTCATAAAAATAATTAGGAATACTATAAGAAATTCGCCGAATACTAGCTATATTTCCGACGGTCAACTGAACCGGTGGTTAAACTGACGTTGACCGCCACTATTAACCGGTGGTTTACCTGTGGTTTTGGGTTCATTAATTTCCAGATATTTGAGCAGCCAGAAAACCGCAGGAAAATTTTACTGCCGTAAATTGGCCGCCGGTTTTCATTTCCTATGCAGTTTATTCAGGCGGTTTATAAACCACCGTAAAACCGCCGGAAATTACTGCAGGTCAAGGGCGATTTTCCTATAGTGGAATAACGTCATAAAATTATGATCGAAAAAATATGTATTTTTAAAAAAAATTGACAACAAAAATAGAAAATATAAACAGTACCAATTGAAAGCAATGAGCTTAATAATAAACATAATAATATATCAACTTATAAGTTAACTTTTAAAAGCTAACAATAACCCCCCATTTATGTTGAAATACACTCGAAACTCCGAATTTGCTGTGCTTACATGTGAACTTGTAGTGGTTGATTCTTGACCACTCACTTTATGTACAAAATAGACACTTTCTCTCCTGTAAGCAGATGGTTCAGTCTTTCACACTCTACAGAACCATATCAATCATTCTTCCTCTCAAAATTATCATTTTTCTTATACTTATATGAATGGACACAGTTGATGAAACTAGATATCTGGAAGAAAAGGCAGCTGGCCTTGGGACCCTGACAGCATTTAGTGATGGTCCTTGCCAACTACCTCCAGATCATTGTCTGATAACTTTTCATCTAGATAACCTCTCAAAAAAGCATTCTGAAATAAGCTAAGTGTGGGGCTAACATTGAAATCATCCATGGGCCCATTAGTTCTCAAGAATATTCCAGCTCTCCAGATATTAACAATGAGCTAGAGCTTCCTCTTTAAGGCTGAGAAGATTTATGGACTGCCAAAAAATTTTGTTCTTATCTTTTCAAATTTATATTCTCAAAAGGATATCAGTAGGAATATTGGTAGTTTACTACCATGTCAATATTGGAGAACTATCCAGATTAAGCTTTCTATATTGGTGAGATAAACAAATAAAGGAAAGAATGACATTATTTCTTTGTAATACTATTGCAAGAAACATACAACATTCATTTCCTCCCATTTTAAAGAGGAAAATTAGAACAAACTAGAAAAATTGAAAGCTTCCATTGATAATTATCCAGCTGTAACATTTCCACTAACCCAGTTTTATCATCTTAAACATAATCAGACTCCTCTTAATGAAGTAAGATCTATGAATAAACCACTGAGTTGTTCCATAATGTCATTCAATCCCCTTGAAGGCCAAGCTGACACTTATCTTCCATGTACTAGAAGCAAACATATATATAGCAATTGCTTTTGATTTCATAGATCATACCAGGAATGTGTGAATTCTCCCAATGAACTGAGAAGATAGATTATAGAGTGGAAAAGTTGATCTTCCAAATCACTCAAGAACTGTGCAATTTTTTCTTGCTTCTACTGCTTAAGATAAGAGTGAGTAGACATTCATAGGAGGCAATAGCTACAGTATATATGATTTCTTGCATGTCATGGTAGTTTCGAATCTGAGAAGACGGTGAAAGTTCTTCATTTTGTTTCACAAGGGAAAACCATCACGAGGTGCGCCATTCAAATCTTGGGTTTTTAGAGGAGGATTGTTACCATAAGTCATTTGAACAACATTGTGGAGATCTTCATCCCAAGCATTAGTCATCTATAGATAATTGCAAGACTTGATTAGGACTGTATACTAGTAGATGACTACCCAATCTTCCCAAGAAAATGACAATATTTGTTTTTCATGAATATTAGTAACACATAATTAACTTTAATAACAAAAAATAAAATAAAATTTATATTGAATTTTTAAAATCATGGGGTGCTCCAGGCTTTGTTTGGGACTGCTTTCTTACCGCTTCTTAAAGCAGCTTTTTAGTTCAAAATTTTTAATTTTTGAACTAGAATGCAGCTTCAAGAAACAGTAAGAAAGCTGTCCCAAACGAAGCCTCAATCTCAAGTTCTTGACAACACCTTTCAAAGACTTTATGAACAAGTCTAGTTAACACCAACATCTAATTAAGTTATAAATAATAATCCAGTGTGACAATGAAGTTCAACATTTCATCTAAGCCAAGAATATGCAAGTTTACTTGTTAATATAACCGGCTCATACTCATAAATAGTAGTTTGGCTGAGTTGGTGTGGATACACATCAACAAAGCAACAAAGGTTACTTGATATCTTGTTTCAGTAGAGTAAAGATATCTTTGATGTAGACTAAGAGAGAAGATCCTGTTATTTAGTGTTCATTCCTGGCTTCTTGCAACCTTTATTTTGAAAATAACAAAAACTACTTTGCAATGCACAAACCTAGCTTCAATAAAGGGAAAGGATATCCAACACCTTGCATACTAGCAAAGTTGACTCTTTTCACATCAATCAATGCCCTTATCACAATGAAAGTGGTTTCATAGCACACATAAAATCAAACTTAATGAGAGTAACTTTGTAACTGGGGTCGGCGAATCAGAACGCGTCACGTCACCCATTTGTTGTGTACCGCGGCTGTGTACTGATGTGTACCGGGTGACGTGGTGCGTTATGATTTGTCTCCGGACGATCTGATTTTCGCACAGAATAATTTTTCTTGTTAAGGGCGGCTGCTACTGTCAGTAAAATCAATTTTAACATGTTGGAAGTTGTCACAGCTAAAAGAGTAACTATTATGTGGAAAATCTTATTAGGGTGTTATTTATAAATCAAATAATAATTTTTGGATTGATAAGATAGTTGTGCTGCTGCTATATATAATTAAATAACCTTAATGCCCTTATTCTTATAGAAGCTTATCTGAAAAGCCAATAGTTTTTTTTTTTTTAACTTAGGTTTCATTTGGGATGGCTTTCTTACTGTTTAAAGCATCTTTTTAGTACAAAATTAAAATTTTTCTACTAAAAAGAAATTTTAAGAAGTAGAAAAAAAACTGTCCCAAATGAAACCTTAATTTCAAACAACGCTTCCCTCAGCCGAACATGAACTTTGAACATAAAATCTGAATATGATGCATTAAACATAATTATTTGATACTTGCAAATATCACAAATACACAAAAATTAACAGATGTAGAGCTGAAGGAGACTAAAGAAAAGCTGAAGAAATAAAACTTCTTAATTCAGGAGAACAATATACTGTTAAAAGAAGTCAATAGATCTGCACTTATGAATAAAAACAAGTCGTAATCATTTGCGGTCTAAAACATTCAGTTTTCAGCAATAAGAGTAAGTTGATCCAAACAATAAATTTGCAATATTACAGTAGCATTCCTTACCACGCCATAGGTATGCAGTCATCCCAAATGAAGCCTAAGAACATCTTAAATATAATGTGAGCTTCATGTTTCTAGCCTATGTATGTATAGAAGATATGACTATGTGGGAGTAGAGGTTATAGCTAATACACTTGACGTAGAGTTCTATATTTGACTTGGTTAACACTCTTTTGTGTCCAATGGGCTGATAGAATAAAAGTTGAATTCTCTAGTCAGGTTCAAGCTCAAATTAAGTTTGACTGAAACCAGCCCAAACCCGCATGAGCAAGAAAGGCTCAGCCATGGATCTAGCTAGCTTTGGCTATCCAGTCTACTTCCAACGGTTTGGCTCAACATTAAGGCTTTGTTTGAGACAACTTTCTCACTGCTTCTTAAAGCAGCTTTTTAATAGAAAATATTTATTTTTTTGTACTAAAAAGCTGCTTTAAGAAACATAAATAAAGCTGCCCTAAATGAAGCCTAAATCATAAATTTTGATTCTAGCTTAACTCAAATTTGACTTGAAAACCAAATTAAAATCTACTAGAAAGTGATTTTAAATTAATTATCTACAAAAATATAAATACAATACTATGAATTATATATCTATTATTTAATATATATTGTAGATTTTATATAAATACTCATTTAGATCCAAAATTTTGAGTTGACTTAGAATTATATTTGAAAGTTAGAGCAGATTCAAAATTGATTCAAAATCAAATTGCAGTTTAGAGTGGAGCTTAATTGAAAAATACATATATACATTAGAATATCTTGATGTAAATTGTATCAGCATGGGCTTGAAATATATTTCATTTATTTTAAGAACAGTGCAAGATAAATTCTTCAGATATAACACTAATCTCAAAACAAATTCAATAATTTTTAAATCATCATGATACTATTTATGTTAGGATATCCTGGTACTTGAACTTCCCTCAAAATTGACTTGACTCGATTATAAGTCCAGCAAATTTTGAGTGGTTTCCAAACAAATTTCGAGCTTTGAGCTTTTTTAGAAGTTTTATTTGGCACAAGCCAACTGCAATAAAGATATGCTCTCCCTGTACCAAGTATTCCTAATTTTTTCTATAATTTTCATTTGTCTCCCTCTTAACACTAAAAGCAGTTCGAGTAGATGACTCTACTGTAATTATCGGTCGGGGCCGAACATTTAGTTGGAACTTGGAAAGCTGCAATCAACCAAGAATTCAAACCCTACATGACAGTTTTAGGGCTTATGTCATAAAACCAGAACAGCTTTATAGTTCATACCAACATACATATAAGGATCAAGCACAGGAAAAAGCAAGAATAAATTTTGATTGTTTTAAATGTTCAAGTTAGCTTTGATATGAACAACATAAACTAAGACTGAGCTTGTATGCTTGGAATTTGGTTGAAAAGAAATTGAAAAAAGGGTTCAAAAGCATAAATCAATCGTTATAGATTCATAATCAACACAGATATTGTTGGGATTTCGTTTGATTTCCTCCCCTTTCCTTCAATCCAAACAAGAGGATTGCACCAATCCATTGAATATTTATTAAACCATCAAAATGCTTCTATAGAAAGGGAAGTAGAATATAAGGATCAGCTATTTAACTTCCATTTCTTCAAGTTAGGTTTACTGGAAAAGCTTAGCAATCTAGAGAATAAATATGAAACCATCAAAATTTTTCTTTAAATATGAAGGTAGAATACCTGCTGTGTAGAATCTTTGAAGCCACTGGTTGAAGCCAATTGAACATTTAGTGCTCTTCTAAATGCATCTGAAGGGTTCATAACTCCAGCCATCCCAACTTGAATCAAACCTTGATGAGGTGGATGTAACTGTTGATGGATCATTTCTGGTGTGAATCCAATGACTGATGAAGAACCAGTCCTGGTCTGAAATAACTGCAATGACAAGAAATCAATGATTTTCTAGACTAATTTTTTCTCCTTTAACTCAATGAATTTCTGCAAATCATGAATGCACTAAGTAACAGCTTATGATCTCTTACATCTTTAGAAAGAAGGCCTTCAATATTAAAGTCTATACTTGGGTTAACAGCAGCAAGCTTCATTGATAAAAACTAGTACCAGAAAACAAATAAAATGCCTCATTTATGTTTAAAAGAGAGAGTCATCTTGAAAATCTTATAAGAAACTTAAAATTTGTATTCATGTAATCAATAAATGATAAATACCTCTACTTGACGTTGGAGTGATTGGACGTAGTTGATAATCTCATCTAGCATAACAGCTTTACCTGTAACCTGGAGCACATAACCCGAAGATTTAAGTAAAGAAGCTCTATCTACAAAGATTATAAAGAAAACAGTAGCCAAGTTAATTTTTTTAAAAAACCTACTTTGCTGCAGCCCGGAACAAGGTCCTGAAGAAACTTCATCCTCTCACTAATCTTCTCCCTTCTTACCTGCATCAAGGAGATTCCAATACATAAAAAGCTAATTTTTCGTTTTCTTTGAAGTTCTATAGGAACAAAAATGACTTCAATGGTGGAGGAAAGCCTTACTCTTTCTGCAAGACTATGACTATTGGTAGCTTGGCCGCGACGAGCTCTCACATGGATATAATCTTCCTTGGGAGCTTCTCCACTCTCTTTTGGATTTTTTCCTAAAGGCTTAACATTTGCCATTGTTGAGCTGTTCTTTTCTTCCTTCTGCTTATTATCAGTAACATCCTTAGCAGCCTCAAAAGGCAATTGAGCTGCAGCTTGTCCTTGATCTGACTCCATATCCTGCCATCAGAAATTCACAAACTTGCTAATTTATGAAGAGTAAAGATTGAAGGAGAAAAAAAAAAGATAAGAGAAAAAATGTAGACCTGATTACTCCTTTTCCTTTTATTTATGCCAAATACCCCTTTAGACGAATTAGGTGACTCATCTCGAGCATCGTCACTAAACTCTGGTTCTGAGAACTCATTTGGTCCCTTCTCCCTTTGCTCCTTCATTGGACTCCCACTATTAGAGCTCTGATCAATCAGACCAGATCTACCCTTGAGTGCTTCAATCCTGTCTGCTTCATTCTTTTGCATTTGAGCCTCAGCAGTGGCATCCGAACTGCCGGGGACAATGAAAGGATAAGCCACATCACTGAAGCAAGAGAATCTTGCAGCCCTCTCAGTAAATCCAGCATCACAAGGGAACTGCGAGAGGCTAAGGGGAAGCATTCCCATCCCTGTGCTAAAAAACATTCCTCCCTTCGTTAATGAATCTGAGGGATTCCAGTTCATGGGAACTGGTTTCCCAATAGTGGAAGAGCTTGCAGTTGCCTGCGCATTGGAGAAGCTTAAGTTGTGTGTATTGGAGGGCAGTTGATTCCAGATCACATGACCGAAAGAATCCACCATGGAAGCAGATGGGCAAGGTAATGAACCAATCTGATTCCACTCAGTAGTGGTTAAGCCTGTAGTGTTGCAGTTCAGAGAATCTACAGTCCTCTTCTCTAACCCAAACTTCCCCTTCTCACCCAAATCCATCTTTCTTTCTTCTCTGAAAGAAAGCTTGGCCTCACTCCAAGACCTTATATGGAAGAAACACTCTTCAAGTTATTATTGACTTCCAAGTTTCTATTTTTCCTCTTTTTTTCTTTTACTAGAAGTTATTATCCACTGCTATGACCAGAAAAGACTTGTTGAAGAATAATTGGTTCTAAGGCAATAGAATCCAAGTGGGAAAGAGAGGAAAAAAAATAAAAGGATCAATTCCAAGTTCCAAAATCCAATGCGCCAAATTAGCCAACAAAAGTGTAGGCTTCCTCAAAAGGAGCAAACTTTGTTCATACCATACCAATTATATTCAAAGACCAAAAGTTAACAGAAAAAAAACATAAATCCCAGCTTCACAAGAGAACCTTACCACCTACAAAACTCCTACAACTTATCAGTAATAAAGATCAGTGAGAGCTAAATCTCCTGAAATCATGGAATCAATAGCCTTAAAGGACTTGGAAAAAAAAAAAAAAACCTCATCTAGCTGTAAACAGGGATTGAAAAGACGGGGCAGCTATAGAATCTCTCATCCAGACTCAGATATCCATTAAAAAGCAGCTACGCATTGGTTTCAGAGATCGCAGGACCAGAGCCAACCATCTCTCTCTCTCTCTCTCTCTGTGAAAAACTCAACAGCACACCTAAAAGTAGTAATTAGAGAAAAGAAAAGATACCCTCCCTCTGATTCCTTTATCCTTCTATCTTTCTGCACTTGCTTGAAACCTTTTTCTCCTCATTGAAAGCACTGCGAACTAAAAAAAAAACAGAGTTTTCTCCTATGTAGGCTTCTCCTCTCACTCCCACCTCCACTCTCAGAAACAACAGAAACCCAATTTCAGAAAGAGAGAGAACAGGGATAGAGCTTGCTTTCATTTATACTCCACCCACAACTGTTTGAGAGAGAAGACCAGCTGAATGACTAACCAAGGCCACTGCTACTGCTGAATTAACCTCTGACTGTTTGATTCAACAAATTATTCAGTAAATGTATAAATAGACAACGGTAAAGCCTAAAACTAAGTTAAGTGTAGAAGATAGGATTCGAAATGAGCATATGCGTTAAAAAGTTGGAGTAGCTCCAGTGATGAGGGTAAGAAGAGAGTCATCTTAGATGGTTTGGTCACATTAAACGGAGGCCTTTAGATGGCCTGGTTAGAAATGTTAAGGTATTAGATTTGTCGTATGTTAAGAAAGATAAAATTAAACTTTAAAAGAATTGATTAGAAAATATTAGAAATGATCATTTGTTATTAGATTTAAATGAGAATTTGATTTTTAACAAGACATAATGACTAAAATAGATTCACGTAGCAGACTCGAGGTAGTGGGACAAAGATTGTTGTTGTTGGTAAAACATAAATTATATATTTTTTATGATTTAAATCATAATTTTATTTATTTAATCATAAATAAATATAGTAAAACAAATCATATTATATTTTTAAAATTTCTCTGTTCATTTTTAATTGAAATTTTAAGCTTTTATTACCCTTCTTTATTGCTCTGTTTTTGCTATGTTACTTTATTATGGCAAGCTTGAACCCTGACATTTGCCAACCTTCCCGACTATTATACTCTTCGCCTTTATTTGAGCTTCGGTATGTTACCGCGCGGATAAACGTTCACCGCGGGATTACTGGTTTGATTGTAAATATTAATGGAAAACGCAGGAAAAAGTTTTATGGGAAATGGAGCACCGTCATGGATGTATGGGAGAGCCTGCGAGACAATTTAACGCACCCGTCGCGGTCAAGATTCGAATAATTTAAGCGAGATTTTCACGAGATATTTCCCCGAACGATACGATATGAAAGAAATATCGTATCCAAAGAGTTGGGATTCACCGAGATTTTGGTTTCGTACAATGGCGAATCGGACGGCTGAAATCAGTTGTTTGAGGGGCAGGTTGAGTCCGGTTCGGTTGCTGAGTGTGAAGCGGGGTGAGAGACAGTGAAGAGTAAATATCGGGCAGGCATTTGTACAAAGCAAAATTTGTACGAGAGATTTGAGATTTATTGTGCTATTTTTATAAAATTATGAATAAAATGAGCTAATAATTATATAATTATTCATTTTATGATCATGGTATTAATAATTTTATTAAATTGAAAAAAAAAAGAGTTGAAATCTTATTATGAATTTCAATATTTTGTTAAAAATTTGATGAAATAAAGTAAAAGTTTGTTAAATTTATAAAAGAACTAGCATTTAAGAGATGTATATGAGCCTCAATTTATATTTGAGTAATCTTAGAATGTCCCATCTACATTAAGAAATCAAACTTGATGAGTTTCAATAGTGCACTACACAAAATACAAAAATTACTAAGCTCTCTCTCTCTCTCTCTCTCTCTCTCTCTCTCTCTCTCTCAATAATAAAGATTTTTAAAGTTATTAGTTTGTTAGAATTATAATTTTCTATTATCTTGAGATACACCAAATTTAATTCAATAAGTTGGACGCTCACATGATGAGTAAAAGAAAATTTTCATCATGATGTAACACAGGTGGATAATAGTTGTATATATATTGAATAAATATAAATAAGATGTTGTTTCTTTTTCTATTATTTCTATTAAATTTGTAAATTCTAGCTGAATGACCGAATGATTGAATTGTTTGTATTATAAATGTAAATATATAATAGAAAATTCTTCCAACTTGGAACTTGAGGTGTGACATACATACCTTAACCTTTGATCCTAGTATTCCAACCCTAATTGATCTTGGACTTCGATTTGGATATATTTTGAGTTATTATTTTATAATTGATATTTATAAATTTATCTTGGTAAATAATTATGTAACACATGAACATAGGGCTGTAAATGAGTCAAGTTGAGCTTGAATCAGGCCCAACTCGAGCTTGACTCGTGAGCCAAATCCCGAGCTCAAACTCGAGTTTGGGCACAAATCGAGCTCAAAAGGTGAGCTCGAACTCGGCTCGTCGCACTATAAATGAGCTCGAGCCGCTCGCGAGCTTCAAGCGGACTGGTCGTCTTCCACGCACCGCGATGATTGCTGGCGATATTTTCACGCACGAACCTGTGATCGATCTCGATGTGCTTCGTTCTTGCGTGGAACACGGGGTTGTTGGCGAGGGCTATGGTGGAGGTATTGTCACAGTATAGATCGATGGGTTGTTCGTTGTCAATGTGAAAGTCGTGAAGCAGACGCTTGAGCCAGATGGTATCGGCGGTGGCAGCGGCGAGCGCCCGGTATTCGGATTTCGTGGATGATCGAGATACGGTTGTCTGCTTCTTTACCGCCCAGGAGATGAGCGTGCCACCGAGAAAGGTACAATAGCCGGATGCAGATTTGCGGGTGATGGGATCGCTGGCCCAATCGGCGTCGGAGTAGGTTTGAAGGCGGAGGTCTGATTTGGTGATAGGTAGACCGAGATTGATGGAGCCTCTAATGTAGCGGAGTAACCGTTTGAGAAGATATATGTGGAGTGGTTGTGGATCATGCATATGCTGGGTGAGATTGTTGACGGCGTAGGCGATGTCCGGACGTGTAATCGTGAGGTATTGGAGTGCTCCCGTGAGTCTTCTGTACAGGGACGGATCGCCCAGTTCATTGTCTGTAGGAATGTCAGCTGGTGTCTTGGTGCATGAAGGATTGGCTGTTGGATTGCATTGTAAGAGATTAGGTTGTTTGATAATAGAGAGTGCGTAGGCGTGTTGAGAGAGGAAATACTTATCTGTTAGGTGCTGTAGTTGGATGCCGAGGAAATGATTGGTGGTTCCAAGGTGTTTGAGAGAGAATGTGGTATTGAGTTTGTCAAGAAATATGGAGATAGCAGAGTCGTCATTGCCGGTAACGAGGATGTCGTCCACGTAGACAAGAAGATAGATTTGTGTATGTCCCTTGCGGAGAGTTAACAGAGATGGATCGGACTTGCTATGCTGGAAGCCGAGTTGAAGAAGGTAGGATGAGAACGTCGTATACCATTGGCGAGGTGCCTGTCGAAGTCCGTAGATGGCTTTGAGAAGGAGACAGACGTGGTTTGGATGAAGCGAATCTTCGAAGCCTTTCGGCTGTCGCATATAGACCGTGTCGTCGAGTTGGCCGTGGAGGAAAGCATTGTCGACGTCCAACTGTTGGATCTTCCAATTATGATGTAGTGCCACGGTAAACAGAACACGGATTGTGGGCAGTTTTGCGACTGGACTGAAGGTCTCGATATAGTCAAGTCCCCATTCTTGTTGGTTGCCGAGTGCCACTAGACGAGCTTTAAACCGAGCTATGGAGCCGTCCGAATGATATTTGCGAAGGAAGGTCCATTTGCATCCCAGAATCTGAGCATCAGACGGAGGAGGAACCAATTGCCATGTGCCTTGCTTTTGTAAGGCGTAAAATTCCGCTGCCATGGCTTTGCGCCATTCAAACGATTTGTTGGCTTCGTGGTAGCTAGTTGGATCGTTGGATTCAGATTCGTTGTGAAGTAGATTGAGTTTGCGAGTTGGTTTCAAGTTCCCTGTTTGAGCCCGAGTAACCATTGGATGGCGGGTGACCGGTCTCACCGAAGGTGGAGTTAAGGAGGCGGTATCAGGCTCGACTGGAGACGAGAGGAATGGTTGAGGATTTAAGTTGGATGGTTTAGGTGGGTTGTAATTGTTGATCGGTGATCGGCGATCTGTAGTGTGTAAGGTAGCAGCCGGGATGAGCATTGATGCGGGAAGCTCGGGAACTAATTGTTGAGTTGATTGTGTTGATTGTCTGAAGGGAAACGACGTCTCAATAAATCGAACATGACGTGAGACAATAATTTTGTTAGTGGTCTGGTTGAGGCACTTGTATCCCTTTTGATTGTCTGCGTAGCCGAGGAAGACGCAGGAGGTGGATGATGGTTGAAGTTTGTTGCGTAGGGGGGGTGGAAGTAAGGGAAAACATTCACATCCGAAGTTGCGTAGGTGAGAGTAATCTGGGTCAATGTTGAACACCAATTTAAGAGGAGAGGAGTTATTGGTGGTCGGAGTGGGCATTCTGTTAATGAGATAGACAGCAGCGGTTGCGGCGTCGGGCCAGTAGGAAGATGGCATTGCAGCGGTATGTAGAATGGTTCGCATGGTTTCGACGATGTGGCGGTGCTTACGTTCGGCGATACCGTTCTGTTTGGGAGTGTATGGGCAAGATAACTGGTGCTGTATGCCTTGATCTTGTAGAAATGAATCAAACTGCTGGTTGACGAATTCTCGGCCGCCGTCGGTGCGCACGGTTTGAATGTTCCTGTTGGTGTTCTTCTGAATAAATTTAATAAAATTAATAAAGAGTTTTGGTATATCAGATTTATGAGTAACAGGAAATATCCAACTATATCTTGAAAAATCATCAACAATTAAGAGGTAGTAAAGAAATCCCTGATTCGAGGGAACCGGAGAAGGTCCCCAGACATCTGAGTGTAAAAGAGCTAATGGAAATCGTTTGCGATTTACAGAATTGGAAAATATGAGCTTATGGCTTTTACAAGAAAGACAAGAAGTACAATTAATAGGTTTTGTAGTAATATGGAGCTTCGGATGTGCTTTAGATATTGAGGCGAGAATGCTGGGATGAGGATGACCGAGCCTTTCGTGCCAGTTGGGTGTTGTTTTTCGTTCAGCAGAGAGCCCCTTTCTTGCGGTAACTTGATTTTTGAGTGAAATGGGGTACAGGCCATCTTTACATGGACCTTGGAGCAGAATTCGTTGAGTCTGCAAGTCCTTACAAGCAAAGCCGTTAGGATCGAATGTGATGGAAATGTTGTTATCACGAACTAGATTAGAGATTGAAATTAAATTGTAGGAAATAGACGGAATGTGAAGAAGATGTGAAAGAGATAACGTACGATCGGGGGTCGGAAGAATTCTGGTGCCTGAATGAGCAATCGGAATAGACCTCCCGTCCCCTACAGTTATTTGTTCAGAGCCGCGATAGTTAAATTGCTGAATGTTGATAGCAATTTAA